ACAGATGGGATTGTGAAAGCGCTTACGCCACCCGAATTTGTGGCAATTTTACGGCGGTGGCACGATTCTTCTTACTTACTACTTACACATCTATGTCGAAGTCGAGTCAATTTTTGTGAAAACGTCATTCCACATACACACTGATCAATTGTTGTGTATAAAGTATTCACACACATATTGAGTTTTCAAACAAAACAATCGTATTTCCAGAAAGAGGTAAGTAGACGCCACACTTGTTACGTCCGAAATCACGTGGTTCAGCATACTTAAGCTCGACGACGTTACTGAAAAATTATCAAAATCTGTTTCCAACCTTCATGTCTCACAACGCCTCATCCAAAGAGCAAGCTCCCGCTGCCTACTACTCCAAAAAATTACTGACATGCACTCAGTTTATCAGATATTTTCCCCCGAATTCGGAACATTGATGATACACCCCCTGTTTTGAATAGTATAGTTCAAGGACATCATGCCCCATTCTATGAGCTGGGCTGGATTATCCCCTTTGGAAAAGTGCTGGAACTCTTCGGTGAACCCCCTCAGGGAATGGTGGAAGAACATTATAACTACACAGTTCTCCCAAGTAAATGGGCAAAACGCAAGCCAAATACAACGTATGTTTGTTTTGTCTTTCTCAAACTTAGCTGGTCCAAATGTTCCTCTGTAGTTTCTTAGAACCTCCCGAGATTGAGTATTGGGAATACCTTGAGGGTCGTGCTCCGGAAACCCATGACGAAGATCATGAAGAAGCTCATATGATCATCCGCCTTGCCACGAACAGTCTAGAAGAGCTTCAGGTAGTCAAAGAGCATGGACAAGAGCTTGTTTGCGGAGCTTGTGAAGTTCTTGGATTCAACTCTGAGGAGCTCAAATGGTATCGGACTGTGTTCATTAAGCGTCCAGCCGTCATGTATCGCAACTTATCACCCCAAGCGTAAGTCCGCTCCCACTGCTTGCTTCCGAACAAACTCTGACATACATTCAGTTTATCAAACATCTTCCCTCAAATCCGGAACATTGATGATACACCCCCCATTTTGTATAGTATAGTTCAGGGACACCATGCACCATACTATGAGCTGGGCTGGGTTATACCCTTTAGCAAAGTGCTGGAACTTCTTGGCGAACCCCCTGAGGGCATGGTGGAAGAACACTATAACTACACAGTTCTCCCAAGTAAATGGGCGGAATGCAAGCCGAATACAATGTGTGTTTGTTTAGTCTTTCTCAAACTTGGCTCATTCAAACATGCTGTAGGTTCTTAGAGCCTCCTGAGATTGATCGTTGGGAATACCCTGAGGGTCGTGCTCCGGAAACCCATGACAAAGAATATGAAGAATCTTACATGATCATTCGCCTTGCCATGAACAGTCCAGAAGAGCTGGAGGTACTTAAAGAGCACATACACGAACTTGCTCATATAGCTTGTGAAGCTCTCGGTTTGCCCTCTGAGGATCTGAAATGGTATCGGACTGTGTTCATTACACGCTAAAAGTTCTCTAGCTTTAGTCAAGGGCTTGGAAATGCAAACTGTTATACAGAGAATATACATTGACCTGATATATAATAAATTGGCCTCAAGACTACCCACCAAAACATGTATTAGTGTCTCTCGAAGCCGCATGCCTCTATATTTTGTCCAACTTGAATATCATGTTCATAACCGTGCTCACACTCCTACCTTTCATCTCCTCTTACAATGTACAAACACTGCTAACTGCGGCTTTTTTCCAAGCGCAGGAAATTTCGTAAAAACACATCCAACAAGGACGCTGACTGCCGCGTGAAGTCTAGGGAATAGTAAGAAGTAATTATTAGCAATATTTGAAAATAATGATATGATACAAAAACGTCAGAGGAAAAGGTTACAAACATCGCATGGGGACAAAACACAAGATAGCAGTAACTGAGTGACTTTTGAGTGATTCGGCAGCCAAAAAGCAGAGTACAAAAAAAACCAAGAACGAAGGAAACTTCGTACTGTCTCTTCAATCCTTGTACAGCGCATCCTCTTCCTCTACTCCCCTCTCTCTGCCTCGTCGCAGGTCTCAACACTCTCAATCATCATCGATAACAATAACATCTTCTTCAAATTCGTCTACCTCCCCGGGGCCATCCATCAACACCAACCCGTCTTCCTCTAGCCTTTTTCTCTTGTTCGGACTTGTGAGGTCCATCGTGGGTGTCGTTGTCTTTGCATCCCTCTGACTATCGTATGCGCCGAGTCTTGGCTTTTTGAGCGCGCGCTGGCCTTCTCCATCCCCATCCCTGGTTCGACCGTTCCCGTTGTGACCGTCGATGATCATAACATCACCATCGTCAGCATCTGTGGGTAGAGACCTTTTCAGCGACAACCGAGGAGGCGGCGTCGATGGTACTGAGGGCACAAGGGGTTTTATTTTTTTCCTCTTGACAAGTTTTGGAAGCGGGCAAGGCAGAATGTATGGTGAAGCTGTAGATGGGTGGGATGCACTGTCACGAAAGAAAATCATGCGATGAGTATATCTATGAAAAAAAACTCTGCCTGAAACCAAAGAAGAAAGGAACTCACGGCAACTCTCCAATCACAACTTGAACTGTCTCCCAATCCCCTTCCTCATCAACGATACTGATAAACTTGCCCCTCCCCACGTTCAAGCTATCCAACGTCCTATCTAGGTTATCATCCCAATCAGGATCGACGAGGATCCGTTTATCTTCGTATACGGAAATTTCCTTTCTCTCGCTACCTTCATTCACCTTATCATCGTCGTCATTCGATCCGTTCTCGTTCTCGTTCCTGTTGCCGTTCTGTGACTGTCCATTCTCATTTGCCCCTTCTCTGTTCTGTCTTTGCCTCGACGTCCAACCCAAGACCCCCTGTACAACATCCCTCAGCGTCGTCTGTGTCCTGTCACACCTCACGAGCGTATACACGTCCCTGCATACGCCGCAATTCGGGTTTGGAGATGAACATGTAACGGACGAAAGAGGGACAGAGGGTTTGAGTTGGATGTGAACGTTTCGGAGTAGGGAGTAATCGGCACTTGCGGAGCTGGCAACGGTGGAAGACGACGAGGGGGTTGCGGTGGCGGCATTGACCGGCTCGGAAGGAGAAGGGCGAGCTGATGGAGAAGCACGAAGAAGATTCAAAGCTTGCAGGACAATAAGTCCTGCTATGATAGCGTTTGTAGTGGCGATCGCAGGGATGATGTTTCCTGCCATTTCTATGAAGAAAGATAGTAAGCGTGGTCTAAAAACCGAAGGGGAGATGGAGCTGAAGGGGAACGAGCGAAACCGAGGAAAAGTAATGACAACGGGAAGAACACACACCCTTAATCTCCCACTTGCTCTTCCCTTCAATTCCATATGCAGCCGACCTCAGGTTTGACGCCGCAGTCACAAAATCCAACGTGTCCTCATCGTCTTTGTCGAATTCAATCGTTTGCACTTGGGAGGTCGAAAGCCGCATTGACAGCGATTGGACACTGTAGGAGAAGGAAGGGCGGAAATAGGCAGAGAATGCGTGAGTTGAGTGAGTCGAAAGACAGGGGAAAAACTATTGCATTGTCGGAGTTAGGCCTGCATCCTCACCTCGTATTGAACAGCATCAAATTTTCTTTCAAAGTCAATTTTCTCTGATCCTTCATCACTACTTTTTCTGCCGTCTTCTTGTTCCCGGTTCCGTTCAGCGATGAAGCACCGTTTATCCTGTTCCTCTCCTCTTTCGCTTTACTTGAGCCCTGCCTGTCGAGAATGAAAGTGCCACTGATGATCTGATCATAATCCAACGGCACAGGCGGTTCCCTATGTTTCCACATATCCCCCATATTAAGTAGATTTTGGATATCGGCGCTGAATATTTTTTGGAAGGCAAGTTTTGCTGGGTCGTTGTTCTGGTCGGCTGTGGAGGTGGAGTTTGGGGAATAGCTTCGTATAGCAGCACGGACTCGAGAAAACGATTGTGCTTCTTTTCTGAGGTTGGCAATTTCTTCGACTAGAAAAAAGTCCAGAAAAGGTCCAATAGTATGAGATACTTTGCTCACCATTTTCACCGTTGTTCTCAGCCTCGTCAAGTTCAGATGTCTCTCCCGCGTCTTCGTCTCTTCCAAAGAGCTGCCTTTAAAACAACGATTAATAAATCACAATGATTAGAAATGAACAGTTAGAACATACGCACCCCATAAGATAACTCTTACTCCAAACGATACAATGAATTGGTTGACTCGGCGTCGACCTAATCGTACATACTGGAAATGACTTTGGCGTTGGTTTTGGTATACAATCAAAACACTCCGTCGCGTCCTCAAAACAAGAGTTAGCAGGTATTTCGTTCATACGATAAAGCACACACCTTGACCAACGGCTGAACCTGTCCCAGATATCCTGCAGTACCACTCTCCACCAACGGTACGCCAGCAGCCATACACATCCTATTAACATGTCTCCTTGCATCCAGATTATCTAACGCATTCAACACAACTCCAAATCCTTTAAACCAATCTATATCGTACTCTTCATTTTTGATATTCCCAAAAATTGGATCTATCTTCACGTTCGGATTAAATGACGACGCGGCGCGTGCGGCGGTGATGGACTTTGGTTTCTTCACATCTTTGGTACGAAAGAGGAATTGCCGGTTCAGGTTGGACAAGTCGATTGTGTCGAGGTCAAGAAGAGTGATCTGGGTAAAGCCAGTGAGAACAAGTGTTTTTACTGTTGGTATGTAGAGAGTTAGTTCGAAAATGAAGAAGAAAAAAGTGTCGACGGACGTAATTCACAACCAATACCACCAGCACCAACGACTAAAACTTTTGTAAGAGAGAGACGAGTGTGAAGTTCGGGGCCGAGAATTGCTTCAGCGTGTTTCGTTCGTCCTGCAGCAGTAGACATCCTGGAACTACGACGTACTAAGAAGAGCTCGGGCGCCAAAGGGAGCGAATCTCCAATTTACAGGGGTTTTGAATATTTGATCGGTCTGTGGGAGCATATGTATACATACTTCTTGTACACAGCAGCATGGTTCGATGGCGTAGTTGGTTATCGCATCTGTCTAACATTGTCTGAAAGGACTTGGCTACACAGAAGGTCCTCAGTTCGAGCCTGGGTCGAATCATATCTTTTTCAAACAATTGTTAGCTCTCAAGTAGCTTTAGGTTTCCACTCCTTTTTGCTGAACCCATGACTTGATGTCTTCGGTCATAGAATTTGGGTTCACACTTTCAAAATATTAACTTTGAATTCTTACATGGCGGCGGGCCCATTAAATTGCGCGTGACAAAGTTAGAACCAAACAAAATGCCAAAGAAATTGAAAAAGGTTTAGATTCCTTGTAACAAAACTAATGTTCTTGTGTGTGCGAAAGTAATGGCTAAATAAAAATATTTTATTAAACAATAGTATGTACCAAAGTTATCTTGTTCCTACGGACAAAGAGTATGACAATCATTGTCTTTTGCATGCAAAATTCAATATGTTTTGCACATGCCAGCGAGAACTTTCACTAGTGGACCCGGTTTGGTAGGATACCATTCATGGAACACGAGAAGTGCGTGGGGTTCAGGCAAAGAATCATCAGTTGTAATCTCCGAGGCTAGTACCCATGAGAATTCATCGGAGGTACCTCCGTAACCATTCCACCAAACATAGTAGAGCAGTGGGCATGCCTTCCGGCGACAATCGATTTTGGAGTCAAGTATTTTGGCGATTTCGTATTCTGGTTTGCCGTCAACTTCAATCGGCAGAGGCGGCGACTGGACTCTATTTGGGATGATGTTTTCAGTGTAAGGTTCGAGTTGAGATACATGGAATACCGGATGGATATGACTCATATAGACAGGGAGAGAAAGCTTGAACGATAATGAACCGACTTGTTCAAGAACAGTGAAAGGGCCAAGATACTTTTCGGCGAACTTCGGCGCAGGGTGAGTGGAGCGGATATGTTCCGCGAGAACGTATACCTTTGAACCGACGGGAATGATAGGTTGGGTGATGCGTTGCCAATCAGCTTGCTCCTTGTAGCGAGATTGCGCGAGTGCCATTTTGTCTTTGAGGATAGAATGGAGTTCATCGAGATTGACGATGAAATCGCAAGCGGTATTGGAAGTGAGTTTGTACTCGGGATGAACGGTGACATTTGGATGATAACCTTTATTAGCAAAGAATGGAGTAATACCTGTGGAAGCGTTCAGCACATTGTTGGAGATGGAATCCCATGGGCGGACAGGAACAGGGAGTGGTTTAAGGAAACCATACGGGCGATGTCGGCGAGGCTTGTTGCGACCACAAACAGTGCATGAAGAAATGTAATCACGCACGAAGTCATGAACTTTGGGCCAAGTATACTCGCGGCAAACTGATGCGAGCGTGCGGTTGATGCCATAGTGTCCGGCGAGTATATGATCGTGATGGTTGCGAAGGACTTGAATGCAAAGGTCAGAATGATCGGGAACATAAACACGGTTGTCTAGGCGAAGTAGACCATCATTGGCGAGCATCCAGCAGGGGTGCTGAGCATCGGCGGTGAACTCTAAACCTCTAACAGCCTCGGCGTCATGGTGATAGCTTTCGCGGATGGACTTGTGAAGTGAATCGACATCCATAATAACTGACACTCTGAGGACTGGTCCTTGTAAAAAGGTTACGTGAAGCAAAGAGGTGAATTGTTCATTAGTAAAGATGGGTCTAAAATTCTGCGGATTGACCTTGGCATAGCTGCTATCCCCCTCTTTTGGGTAGACGTCCCATCGTCTAGTCATAGCATCTGGTTTACCACCAAGCTTTCCTGGGTGGAAGCGAATGACCATGTTGAACTGGTGAAGGTATTCCGACCAGCGAACCTGTCAGTGAGTTAGAATCTTCGTTGTCGAGAAGTACTCCAGGTTCTTGTGGTCTGTGACAACATTGATTGGGTCGCCTGAGCCTTCCAAGTAATGGCACCACACTTTAAAGGCTTCAAAGATGGCGAGAAGCTCTTTGTCATGTGTGTCATAGTTGAGTTTGGCGGCTTGCAGCGTTCGTGAGAGAAATGCAATTGGATGTATTCCGTTGTCGGCAGTGACAATAGTAAGGATAGTGGTGATCGCGTAATTGGATGCATCTGTTTCCACAATGAGAGGCCTGTTAGGCTCCCAATGCGCGAGAACGGGGGCGTGAGTGAAAGCATCTTTAAGAGAATCGAAGGGAGACTGTTGTAATGACGACCAAAGCCGGGGAGTGTCCTTGCGCATGAGTCGTGTGAGGGGAAGGACAATATCAGAGTAATTGTAAATGAATTGGCAACAGAAATTGGTGAAGCCAAGGAAAGACTGAACGTCCTTCACTTTGCGCAGTGTCGGCCACTTGCGAATGGTCTGAACCTTGTTGTCGGCCATCCGGAGACCCTCTGGTGACAATATGTAACCAAGGTACTCTACCATGTCTTTATGCCATTCACTCTTCTTCGCTGAAGCATGAAGCTTGTACTTGCGAAGTCGGCAAAGCACTTGTTTGCAGTGTTGTTCTAGATCATTGGAGTAGATTAACAAATCATCCATATAAACAATGACGAAATGATCAAGAAGATTGGCGAAGACCATATTAACAAACCGCTGAAACACCGCGGGTGCATTCGTTAGTCCAAAGGGCATAACATTCCATTCAAAAGAACCATAACGAGTACGGAATGTTGTCTTCCACTCATCACCGGCAGCAACACGAACAAGATGGAAAGCGTGTTGAAGATTGATTTTTGTGTAAATCTTTGCCTTGCCTGGTGCGTCAAGTAGATCGGATAAAAGAGGTAAAGGATACCTGTCCTTTTTGGTAATGGCATTGAGTCTGCGAAAGTCAACACACAGGCAAAGCGAACCGTTTGGGACAAAAAGGATTGGAGCACCATGCGGCAAAGTTGAAGGTGAAACGAACCCATTGGCAATGTTTTTGTCCAGCCATTCGCGGAGTGCCTCTTGTTCCTTAGGCGAGAGTGGGTAAATGCGCGAAAGGGGTGGCAATTTACCTTCTCGAGATCAATTTTTATATCAAAATCACGATGTTCGGGGAGTGTGTTGGCCTTCATCTTGTTGAAAATATCAGTGAATTCCGTGTATTCTGGCGGAATAGATAGATCTTCAGTGCTGACAGCCGCGAGTGCAGGCGATGAAGTAGGTGGGGTGGTATGGAAGCTGGATTGGGTAGCGTAAAACATTACTGGTTCGCGCCCAGCTTCCTTACAAACACAATGAAAGGCACGAGCACCGAGCAGCCGGATGTTGACTGCTTCCTTGTTTATGATTTGGGATCCCATCTGAGTGACAGATGGATACATATAGATAGGTTCGAAGGGGTACAAGGGTTTGTTGCGCTTTTTCGGGGTTTTTGGCGAGTGTGCCGATGAGTTCCGTGGGGGTGGCGAAGGTGGAAGTGGGTGTTCCACATGAGCGAGAGTTGTCCTTTGGGTTGGCGAAGCCATAGCGGCAAAGGAAGACAACTGAGGATACAAATTGTTAGTAGCATTTTGGAAAGAAATAGTAGTATGTTGCCAATCAACCAACGGGTTGTAGCAGCGAAGAAAACTGTATCCTAAAACTGCTTTACAACACGAATCCAAGGGTGTGACATAAAAGTCCAAGTCGAGAAGTCGGTAGGAAAGCGAACAGGTAGCAAGGCGATCTCTGTGATCAGCGACGCGGCGAGCGAACCATCAAATAATCGTAAACTTATCGGCAAAATCGGCATTGTATGTAGATATATTGTTCTGTTCTACATACGCACTATCAATGAAATTGTTCGTGGAACCGGAATCAAGAAGGACAAGAAATTTGAGAAGCAAAATAGTGCTAGTATCAAAAGTGTCTGTTGGTATAAATTCAGTAGTAAGAAAAAGACGAAGCAAATTGGTATATGAAAGAGCGGATGCATTGCAGACTACTTCCTGTGTGGTGGCACAATCCCGGTCAACGCAACTCCAGTCTTGTGCACAGGAACTGAAGTTGCTGGCCATTTTTCCGGCTGCGAAGCCGATGTGACTGCAGCGGAATCAGTGGTACTAGCCATAGCACGGGCTGCCTCGGAAGCGAGACGTTTGCAACATTCGGCGATAGGGTGTCCAGAGAGACCGCAGAAGAGACAGAGGTTGTTATCTTTGCGATGTTGAAGCTCTGCCGGAGTTAGTCATCCACCGTCGGTCAGCTTACCGGTGAGGTTTGGCACCTTGCCCTTACCCTTAGACTTCTTGCCTTGGGAGTTATCAGTGGGTGCAGGCTTTTGGGGATTAGCCAACGGCATGGTTGCTGCATTTCCGATAGCCTTTCCTGTACCAGTCTGCTGCATTGACGTGGTACTGGCGCAGGCTGATTCGCAACATTTCTCCTCCTCCCACTTCCAGTACTGAGCGTCCGAGTGTTGCACCTCTCGGCGAAGCTCTACTAGCGTCAATGGCTCTGTTGGCAGTCAAGCGGGATCGTCCTTAATTTGTGTCGCTAAGCCACGCTTGAACACCCATGTGAGTGCGACGGCATCCCAAGATGTAGCGTTGGCAAGCAAGTTGAACCAAATCATATATTTCCTTACATTCTCTGATTCCTTCATCCACAGATTCCCTAGTTTATCCTCCACTTCTCCTTCCATGTCATAGACCCCGAAGTTATCAGTGAGTTCCTGGATGAGGTACTCACAGCTAGACATCCATGCTGGTGGATTTATCGGGTCAGGATATAAGAGATCTGGCTTGAACCACTCCTTCGCCGAACCGCAAAGATACAAAAGTGCATAGGAGACTTTGCGCGCATTGGTAAAGTATCACGGACGATTGGCAAAAATGAGTGTGAGATCGACAAGGAAAGATTGAAGTTTGCGGGGATTGGAACCGTCAAAGGTGTCAGGATCGCGAAGCTTCGCCTTGGATGTTCCGCTTTTGCTGACAGCGGGTTTCGCTATGGACATCTGAATGCCATTTAGAGAAGTGATTAATGAATGAAGCATTGAGAGAGCAAGGGTTTCCCCTTTGGGTATCGTATTATCGGCAGGCGAGTTAGCAGCGGACAGACGAGGAGCACTGCCTCCACCACCACCACCACCACCACCATCTCCTCCACCATTTCCTCCGCCATCGCCAGCAAAGGCGCGTGGAGGCATCGG